AGAGTACTCGCTCAATGTGTCCTTGATAGCGGCGGCAGCGGCGTGCTCTCGGCTTTTCTTCCTCTCTTTCTTCTTCTTTTTCTTCAGCTGCTCTCATATCTCTACCAAAAGTGTACCTCCTTGTCGTTGCTTGTGGCTGACAAATTAATTAGCCACGCCATCAGGGAAAAAAATGGTGAAGTGCAGTCCCGAGAGAGCGAGGGAAAGAGCGAGTAGTAGTGCCGGTTCAGCTGTTGCTATGTGTCAGTCAGGTTCACTGGCAACCCACTGGCATTTTTCTCTTTCTTCTTCTTCTTCTTTTGGCTGACCACAATTTTTGGTGAAGAGCGCTTGTCTGACAGTCTGCTTATCACTGCCATCATCATCAGCAGCAGTTAATCCTCTTCGGTGAGGCAATCGAGTGGTTGTGTATGTATGTCGTTAGTGATTAGTTGTGTGTGAAGGGCTCAGTTCGTTTGAATTTAGCTAACTGAACTAAACTGGTTCAGTTCTGCTTCTCTCTTGTTTATCGTCTGCTCTTCATCAGTACCAGAAGCAGGAGCAGTGAAGAGCACCCAGCAACAGCGAGCCTGTGTGTGTGTTTTTCATGCACTTGTGGTAATTTGTGGTGATCACTGACGATCCTTCAATCTTCTCCTCCGTTCTCGTCAGTTTGTTTCGCAAACCAACTGTACACAGCTGCTAGATAGCTGAAATCACTACTGCTGCTGTTATCAACATTCTGGTGCAATCAATAAAGGTTGAGAAAGAGAGAGAGAGAGAGAGAGAGGGAAAGCTGCTTTGCTGGCTGTCAGCGGTACCAACTTAAAATCGGGTAGCTGATAACTGAAACTGCTGCAACAATGTCTCTTGAGTGTTGTGTACGTTCAAGCGGTGATAAGGCACCTTTTAGATGATAAAATGATAGCTGATTGAGCTGTACTCAAACACAAAATCGACTCATCAACTTGACATTTGTCATCTGGTGGTGGTGGTGGTGGTGATGGTCTGCTGCTGCCTGACATGAGCAGTGACACGTGTCGAAAGGTAAACAATAAATAGTTCCACCCCACTTTTTGGCCTTTGAACCTAAATAGACCTAAGTGACCGGTAGTGTCCAATCACCAATCAGTGTTCATCACCACCACCACCACCTGTTCTGCAGAGCATCCCAATTCAAACATCCCAAGTTCATCCCAAACCAGAACTGATGGCGCCATCTCCTGACGCCCTGTCGTCCTCTGAGGGATGATTGCGTTTTGGAAGTCTCTCTCTCGCTCTCGCTCTTTCTCTCTCGTTCAGCTTCACTGCAGGCGAGTGTGTGCTGTGTGTTTTGTGTGTTGTGCTGCGTTGTTGTTGGTGTTTTGAAGCACTCTCCTGTGCCTGCTGCAGCGCTTTGCCTTGTTGGATACCATGTTCATCTGTTTATTAGCAGCGTTGGCATTTAACTTCTCGTAGTAGTCATCACGCATTGATCATCGCCCATCGTCTTTGACGTACCCTTTTTTTGTGCCGTTTTCCCGTCATGTCGGAGACAGTTGATGATCCACCGAAGCTGGTGGTGGTGAAGCCCGACCAGGTGAAGCCAACCAGGTATGATGATTGCCAGCATGAAGAAAATGTGATGTTGTTGCGATGTAGCTGATCACCGTTAATTACCTTTGCAGCGAGGATGACAAAGCTTCAGCCACCACCACCATCGACGAGGCCACACCTGAGCAGGATGAGGAGGAGGGAGCCGCGCAATCTGAACCGCCGAGTTCTTCATTTGGCGGTTGGTTCTCCAGTATGGTTCAGACGGCCAAGGATACCGTGAGCAAGGTGAGCCTGGTGATGATGACGATTTGATGTTTACTGATACAAACATTGCCAATTTCACATTTCTGCTCCACACACACACAGTCTGCTGGAAGCACTCTGGAGAATATCAAACGCGACCTGAGCGAGCTGAAGGACGCCGTGCAGACGGACGCCACCAGCATGATGTACTCCACGGCGTCAATCGTGAAGAGCAAACTGAATGAGATCGGCAATACCGTCAATGAGATTGGCAGTCTGGGAACAAATGAGGTGGACGATGAGGACGCTGATGAAGAAGAAGGGCTGCTGGAAAAGGCGGCCGGCAAAGGCGCAAATGAAGACGAGGGAGCTGAAGTGGACGACCAGAAGAAGAAGAAGAAGAAGTCTGGCCGTTCTACTACCACCAACAAAAAGTCGCCAAGCACAAGCAAAAAGGCGTCAGTATCTTCGGTGGCGGCGGGGGAGAGCACTGAAGGTGAGAAGGCGGAAAATGAGAAGGAGGAGGAGGAAGGAGGAGACGGCGAGTCGCCCTTCCCGAACACCCTCGACACACTGAACAACTGGACCAACATTCTGACGGACCGCGCCAAGTCTACCATCAGCCTGGTCCGGGAGACGCTGGTCGAGTCGATCTTCGTCAGCGGCCGCGATGACCTCCTGCTCGATGAGGAGGAGCCCTTTGTGCTGAAGGACGGCCAGGTGGTGCCGATTGAAAACTGGAAGGCGCTGCTGCACGGCCTGCAGATCAACCCGGACACCTACTGTCGCGAGCCCAGTGGCCCGCCGGAGGAGTTCGACCTGTGGCTGACCCGCTTCAACCTGATCAACTACCAGAAGCAGATGGAGCACCTGCTGGACGCCGTGCCGGAGGTGCTGAAGCTGCACACCAACCTGGTGCCGCGGCAGCTCTCCGACTCGGACTTCTGGCACCGGTACTACTACAAGGTGCACCAGCTGAGGGAGGTGCAGAAGGAGTTGATCCTCCAGAGCAGTGAAACGACCTCGAGTAATGAAACCTCTGCTGCTGCTGCTGCTGCTGCCCCTTCCAGCAAGAAACATCCCAACAGCTCCAATGTAAACATCAGGTACCTGAACGAAAAGTCGACTGGTGGTGGTGGTAGTAGTGGCGATGCCAGCCGAGCGGACAGCGACTCGAAGATATCACGCTCCAGCACTGAGGACTGGGAGAAGATGACCGACCGAGATGAGCAACAGACGGTGGCGGCAGACAAGAGCTCTCGCGGCTCCAGCGACGAGGACCGGGACTGGGTCAAGTACGACTGATGAGGAGGTGGAGGTGGAGAAGGACTTCCTGTCTGCAGTTGTAGTATTGTTAATATTTCTATTTTATCCTTTATATCTTCTACTGTGTACACCGATGTACTGCTATATTATCACATACAAAACCTTTTTTTCTATGCGAATAAAACTTTATTGTATCAAAAGCTTCCGTTTAAAAAAACTGTACAACAAGCAAGTGGTGTACAAACAAGTTTGACAGTTCAAAGTATGCCCCTGCTGTTTCACACGCATGCCTGTTTTTGTATAAAAAAAGTTAAGCCTCTCTTCAAGCTCACATCACCTCATTGCGACAGCTGGTGCGATTAATGGAAACAGCACCGCCACCACCACCACCACTTCCTACCACCACTTCTTGTCCTGTCGTCTTGTCAAGACACACACACACACACACACAGTCAGCAGTGTCAATGTCAGAGCAGTGTGCACCTTAGCACTGACAGCAAAAGTAAAGTAAAGTTCATCGAGGCATGACCAGACGACAGCGGCGGCGGCGGCAACAGCAACAGAGAATGACCACCAAGACGGCAGTAAATGCAATGGCAACAGCACCAGCAGCAGGTAAGATATCCTGTGTGAGACGGAGGTGGAGAGGTAGGAGCTGTGAGTGAGCGAGCTGTGTGATCAGGTTTCGAGAGCACCACTGCTGCTGCTGCTGCTGCTAAATGCTTCGCCAGTTGACAGTCAGTCAGTTTTTGGTTCAGCGGACGAGCCATTCGGTGTTGACAGTCACTACTACGCTCCAAACTGGCAGCCACACTTCGCTCTCAGTTTTTACCCACTTTTCACCCACCCCCCACACCGAGTCCTCCTCCTCCGCAGCCGGGGATCGGTGCAGCAGTGCACTGTTTTCAAGCTGTTTCACCCTCAATCATATCATGCGACTAATGCGCATTCTCTCGCTCCTCAGTCGATCAGGCATCGGTCTGATTGGCCTCTTCAACTGGGCGCTCGGGACACTGCTGCTGGTGTACGTCATCTGGACGCTAAACACGGCGGGCAACTTTCACCTCATTGCCAGTGGCAAGTCGGTAAGCAGGCGGAAATGAAATTTGTTTTGTTGGTGCACAACACTTTGTAATCATCTAATCACCACTACCACCACCACCACTACTACGCCCAACAGATCATCACCATCAGTGAGCTTATCTTCGGCCTCCTGGTCTCCATCAAAGGCCTGCTGGGCATCTTTGGCGCCTGTCAGAAGCAGGACTGCCTGCTGAAGTTGGTACTGCTGTGAAATGGCTAGAGTTTTTTTGCTTGTTTTAAAAAAATTAACACACTTCCTCTTTTTGTCACACAGTTTCTCTTTCTCGCCGTCATGACCGTCTCCATTGAAGTGGGGACCTTTATCTCACTTCGTGTCACAAAGGTGCAACTTTCTGATCTAGTGGAGCAAAGTTGGAATGAGGCGGCCAGTGCTACCAGAAACTACGTTCAAAGAGAGGTACTGTTAATCGAGCAGGCATTTTAATCTGTTTCTGATGCCAATTTTGTTAATCTCTTCCAGCTTTCCTGCTGCGGACTGACCGGCCTCAGCGAGTTTGCCAGCAAGCTTGACCCCATCGATGATAGCTGCTACGAGCCGGGCAACAGCTCACCAAATCGACAACCGTACAGGGCAAGTCTCCTCTTGGTTTTTATCACTCAGAATCTGTAAGCTAACGAGTTTCCCAACACTCCTCCGAAACAGATCGGCTGCAAGCCCAAACTGATTGACTGGATTCAGCGCAGCAAAAAGCGCTTCATCGGTCTGACGCTGGCCCTGCTCATTGTGCAAATCATCTCCATCGTCCTGGTCCTCCTGCAGCTTCGGTACAGCAAACCGTACCGATCGTCAAGGTCAGCACTGGACCAGGAGTTCAACGATCAAATTCTCCTCACGCGAAGACCCATCGACTGACACCAGTACAAATAAGAACTTTTTTGAAGTTGAAGTTGCATTTACAAGAGTGGATTTTTTGTTTGTTTACTCAGGAGAGAGGAGGAGAAAAATCAGAATCAAAATTATAATAAATATAAAAAATACACAAAATGTACAACAGAAGAGAATGAAAGGAAAGTAAAAGGAAAAAGAGAGCGAGAAAAAATCTTGCACTTATAATTGCAAAGTGTGTGGATGTGATAGTGAGAAAGAGAGAGAGAGTATAGTGCGACGAATATGATACAGAACAGATGGCGCGCGCAAAGTAAAGGAGAGAAAAAGAGACAGAAAAATTAAAGAATAGTTGAAGGAAATGACATCACAAGAATAGAAAGAAGAGGAGGAGGAAAAGGAAGAACGTCGTCGTACATGATAAAGAGTAGTAGTAGTGGGAGTGTGTAGTTGTGGTAAAAGGAGGAAGAGGAAGTACAATGTTGGAAGTAAAGAATGATAGAGAATGAGAAAATGTGAGATGCCACGGCTAGTGAGAAAAATGAAAAAGGTAAAACGTACACAAAAACACAAGTCCTACGGGCGCCACAAAGGATGCTGCTGCTGCTGCCTGGAAGTCGTCTACAGGAGCTGCAATCACACCATCACTACTTCTATCTACTTCTAAAACTACTAGTGGATTCATTATTTGTGTAGGAGAAAGAGAGAGAGAGAGAGAGTATAATCATGGCTATTTAACTCGTACTGCGCTTTGGCCACTGATGCAATGAGGGAGAGAGAGGGAGAACAAAAGAATAGGAAAGTAGTGACAAGTTTGAATGCGCTTGCTGGAGATATGAGCGGGAGATATACGGAAGGTGATGATGATGATGGTGGTGGTACATCGAATGTATGGCGAAACGAGTGGTCAAAGAAGAGTGGAGATGGAAAGAGCAATGCACAGAGCAGACCAGAGAAGAGTAGTAAAGAGGAGGAGATAAAGTGAAAAAGAGAATGGAGGTGGGGGAGGGATGTGTGTGTTTAACACCGACGACTACTTCTATTTCTACTTTTTCGACATGACTAAATCAATCTCCTTCTTCGGCTCCAGCAGGCCGCCGGTGGAGTTGCCGTGGAGGTGGCCACCACCACCACCACCGCCGCCCGAGTTTTGAAAGCCGCCCCCGGACGCCCCCTGCTTGTCGAGGTACTTCAGTGACTCGTTGAGGAAGTTCTGCACTGAGGTGAGAGCCGCAGCTATGGCTGGACTGCCGAAGCCGTGCGTGATCAGACTGAAGTGCGTCAGGTTGCGCTGGATGCTCGTGTCGAGCACTGGCTGCACTCGACTGTTGCACAGCGGAGAGCGGTCCTGGCCGAGCAGTTCTACAAATTCCTTGAGGACTTGCCTGTGAAACAAAAGAAAACAAAACAAAAGCACCGTCAGTTAACAGTTGAGGATGAGATCGAGATTGAGCAGAGATGAGATGAGGCGCGATTCGATTCGATCTGCTCTGAGGTGCACTGAAGCGCACGCCAGCACCACTTGTTTGTGTCACTGCCGCGTTCACTACAACTACTTACTTTGTCGCCATTATCAACTCCTTTCTCCTGAACAGATCAGAATCTGTGTGACTTCGATTTAAGTATTCAGCAATCTGCCGGGAGGGAAACTCAGTCTCACAGACGTATCGAAAGTCTCGCGCCAAGTGAATGGCTTCGCCTGTCAAGGGAAGGGGGAGAGAAAGAAGAAAAGAAAAGGTAAAGTTACTTCTCTATCAGTTACCCAGATCAGCACTGCGATAAAGTACAGCGATAAAAACACACAGCAGCAGCAGCAGCAGTAATAGTATTGCTGCTGTCGTGCTTTACTGCTGCCGTAAACACATCTACTACAACAACCACTCGCGTACCTTCAACCAGCGATGTGAGCAAGGTAACATTGGCAGCTTTCCTTCGACCGGCCGGTAAATTGAGACCGATTTTCTCCAGCTTTTCGCGCAGTGACTTGCCGCCGTTTTTAGATTTGGCCCTGGTGAGTGGGTGAAACAAAGGCATGAGAGGAGTGAGATCTTAACAGTAAAATAAAAGCAGTCATTCAGTCAGTCAGGTAGCACTTACCTTCGGAGAACGCCACCGAGCAGTGAGGCATTGAGACACTCGGGAGGTGAGAGGCGACGCTGCACCTCGCCCACGGTGACTTTGTACTTGGAGGTGGAGCTGAGCAGCGACAGGCGGCCGGGCACCGAGCAGAAGACATCAGTGGGCGCCGTCATGCCCGATGATATGATCATGTCCTTGTGGTTGTCGCTGTTTCGCGATTTGATGCCTAGGGAGCAAGAGAAGTTAGAGAAGAGGGAAGTGGGGAGAACTCCTCCTCGCAGTGCTTACCATTTCCATTGACCAGTCCCTTGCGAATGACGCTACTGTGGTCGGGGGAGAACAAACTCGCTGTATCCTCTACACCGGCGCCCTAATGTGAGGAAAGCAGAGAAGAACAGAAAGAAGTATTAGCAAAAAAGTTGTCAACAAATTAGGGGATGCGCGCTTAAAAGTTTGCTCTGAACAGGTCGTCAATGGAAACGAAGAAGATAGTCAAAAGAGGGCAATAGCCACAATAAACACATTAACGACAACAACAACAACAACAGCCAACACACATTTACCAGCATAGAGGATTGCATAATCAGAGACTGTGCCATGTTGGTAAAAAGAGGATTGTTCTTCAGCAACAGCGTGGTGGCCATCAGCTGCGAGGTGAAATCATGCGGCACCAGGAGGCTGGACTCCTCAATGTCGCTGGACTCCTCCAGGCGGATGTCCTCCTCCTCCTCGTCCTCATCCTCCTCCCCCAGATCATCTTCATCTTCTCCATCTTCGTACTCATCCTCTTCATCTTCCGCCTCCTCGGCCATCACCGCCGGTTCCTCCATCATCAACTCCGTCTCCTGCTCTTCCTCCTGGTCACTCTGAGGCTCTTCTTTGATTCGGAGCAGCTTCTGCGGCGGCGGCAGCTTCTTCGCCAGCGGTTCCAGCCTAAGTTGTTGGCCGCCATTTGAGGGCGCCAATTTGCGCTTTTTAGTGGCGCCATTATTGGCAACTATTAGCAAGTTATCACACATGACGGCGCAGCGTGGAGTAGTAGTAGTAGTATTGGTAGTGGTGATGATCAGAGCAAGAGAGACCAAAACAACAAAAGGATTGCACTGAGAATTGAAGAAAAAACACTAGCAATTGCGTAATGACTAGTGATGGTGGTGGTGGTGGTGGCGATTCACTCAGGAGATGCTGAAAGATGCTGAGATATCAACACACCAGAGACGAGTGCCGTACGGCTAGGTAGAATGTAGCAGAGAGTCACTTCTCTCTCTCTCTCTCTTCCTGATGACCAGAAAAACAAACAACTGCAGTGAGGTAGTAATAATAGAGAAAGACTGGAAGAGAGTGGGGGAAAATATTGGCGCCGAAAGGTAGTGAGTGGGAGGAGGTAAGCAGTGAAGCAGGGTGCGCAGGAGGAGAAGAAGGTGAGGGTGATGAATTGATGACTAGATTAGGGCGACAGGCGATCCGGCACACCCGAGGGCAAGGTGGTGGTGGTGGTGGTGGTAGTGGTGGTGGTGGTGGTGGTGGTAGTGGGGTGGAGAGCTGGGGAGACCCTGCTATTGTCTCATTCCTGCTCAGTGCTCACGCAGCACAGACCGACCGACCGTCAGACAGAGAGGGAATCCTGGCAGCAGCAGTGCGCCTGGGGGATCCGCCGCGATCCAATTCGATCCAAGGCGAGTGAGTAGTGCCAGTGCCAGTTCCAGTGCCAGTTCCAGTGCCAGCGGCCAAAAAGGTGGTCTCTCACTGCTCCAGTGCTGGCAGTGTCTGCTCTGACTGCAGGGCAGCAGCAGTGACCAGAGAGAGTGTAGGGAGAAGAGAGAGAGAGAGTGCACAGAGAGGCCACAAGCGACGGCGGCGGCTGCTGCTGCTGGATACAAACAAAGAGCGGCTGACGGCGCGGCTCGACGAGCCCACCACCAGCAGCAGCGGCAGCGACAGAGGCAGCCAGCGGCAGCATCGCCAGCAGCGACATCCACCACCACCACCACTTTGCTGCAGGCAACCGAGCAGTGAGTGCTACTCGGTCGTCGCCGCTCTGCCAGGCGGCTAGTAGTGTGCTGCTGCTGCGACACAATCCAGTGCAGTGCACTACGATCTCAATACAGTGGGAATCGGAGAGAGAGAGAGAGTGCAGTGCTTGCTGTACTTCTAGCTGAAGGCACACTGTGAGAGAGCGCCCAATCAGCTGTAGAACAGACACACTGCTGCTCGCTTGCCGCAAGCGACGCTCTCCTTCTTCTGTCGCCCCGAGCAACGGTGCCCCTGCTACTACTGCCACTACTACCGTTTCCCTTCTGCCGCTACTACTGCTCAGTAGGCCGTTCCAGATCAGAAGAGGAAGGGTCAGACAGAATCAGCAGTGGCATTCATTACTGGCAATTGTTGGGGGCAGTTGATGGGCATCATCAGCATCAGCAGCAGCAATGGTCAGATGCGCGCAGAATTTCCCAAGATTGAATTATTAGCACCTACTAGTGTGTTCCAGGATTGATGGCAGGCGCAGGTTAACGGCAGCAGTAGTAGCTATTCTCTGTTCTTCTACGACCTCTCAGTGTGACTGTTTTCCCCCTGTACTCCCTAGCTATACTGCGACCGATGCCGCCGTCAGTGGTGGAAGTGCACGTCGTTGTGCACCTCATCAGTGTGCTCCGTTGGCAGACAGCGGCGGCGGCTTCGGCGGCATTCCCCCGGCACTCTGAGGAGCACATGGAACAAGCCATCGGCGAGCGTGCAAACTCGCTCGCTCGCTCACTGTGTGATGAAGTGCACCGAGGGAATGAGAGAGAGAGAGAGAGGTGCACTGAAGACCACGATGATGATGATGCACAGAATGCACGCGGAGAAGAAGGGAAGACGGGAAAGAGGAGAACAAGTGGTGAGTGGTGGACAGCAGCGAGTGAACGCGGACAGTGCAGTTTATTAATTACCACTGCGGGCAAATTATCTTTCTGGCACCGACAATTGGCACACTGTCAGAGAAGAAGGGCTTCTTCTTCTTCTTCTTCGATTGACTTTGCACTGCAGAGCACAGCACAGCACTCTTTGGCGATATCGATTCGGCGAAGCTATTAATCTTGCCAGCCATTCACCTGTCGGTCGTTCAGCAAGGCAGAGAGAGAGAGAGAGAGAGAGAGAGTTCACTGAAACAGACACACACACACTCACTCACTTAGGCACACTGATTGGGAAGACAAAGGAGATTACAGAGTGGACTGTGTGGACTGCCAGGAGTGAGACACTCCTTCGAGGCCAAATGGATTGCCAAATGGGAAAAGTCTGCTGCTGCTGCTGCTGTCTGAGCGGTGGTCAGTGTCGCTGTCAGTCACTCACTAGTGCCCGGGCCCGGGCTCGTCAGCACATGTGAGAGGGAGGAGGCAAAGCAATGGAAGAGCTTTCCAAAGCTAATTAAGCATACCTGTCGGTCGCGCCGGTGATGAGCAGCAGCAGCAGCACCGCAACAGGCAACGTCGGCGTCGGCGCGGCAAAGAAAAGTGTACGCTCACGAGCAGAAAAAGAATCATCGAGGGAAAGAGTGAAAGAGGGGAAAGAGAGGAGAGGAAGCAAACAAGTGCCTGTCGCGGATTAACTTTCCGGTAATCTGTTTACTGAGGCACACTGGCCATTTGCATGCATTTGACTGTTGCAAAGTCGCCAAGGTTGACGGGCACACACATTAGCTGCAAATGAGCCGATAAATGCCACCGGACGGAGCTGCAAAGACAATGCGCAATGCCCTTTGCCCCTTTTCTCAGTATGCAACACATTAATCCAATTGGACCCATCAATCTCGACAAGGAAAAGGAAACGATTCACTGCTGCACTGTTTGATGTGTCTAGGCAAAACAAAAACCGACCCAAAAGTGGGCATTTCGACAGACAGGTGAGCTGTAGTAGTCCTTCCCTCCCCCATTTCTTTTGCCTGTCAGGAAGAGGGTTTCATTAGCTAGTGCTGCAGCAGCAGAGGCAGCAACATCGACTGCGAAGAAATCCGCCGCGATCCGTCGATCAGTGCTGGCCAGGCCAATTAGCTGCCAATGAGAGTGAGTGAGTGAGAGAGAATGCTCCACTGCGGCACTAAACGGCTCCAGAGAAGAAAGAGACGTCGTCGAAAACGGCCATTTGAATTGGTGTGTGTGCGCTGTTCGGCAGTTTCAAGGCCTCAACTGCGATTTCCACAGGCGGCAACAACAACAACTCCACAGACACACATTTCGCTTACATTAATTCTGCTGCCGCCGCCGCCACCACCGCTGAGGCTGCTGCACCAAGTTGGTCGATAATTTTTGTCTTCTTCTAAGCTCTCTTTCTGACAGTGTGTGTCAGTGCCAGTGCAAAGAAAAAAAAAGTATACAGATGACGACAGACAACCTGTCCTGTCCTGGCTGCTGCTGCTGTCGCTGTCGCTGGAGCACGGCGAAAAGCTAGCCACGAGATTAATTTACGGCGAATATTTTTGGCGTTTGCTCTGCTGAGGCTCTGAAGCTCTGACATCGATGCCTGGCACTCTGGAGAGAGTGGAGTGAGTGAGTGAGAGAGCTTCGTCGCCATTGCACAGCATCATCACCACCAGCACAGGTACCACCACCACCACCATCACCAAGAGCTTCACCACCACCACCACCACCACCATCAGCACTTCGTCTTCGTCTTCATGTTGTCGCCATGTCTTCCATTGGCACGTCGAGAAGCAGGCGAGCCGAAGACGAAGACGAAGACGAAGACGAAGACGAAGACGAAGACGAAGACGAAGACGAAGACGAAGACGAAGACGATTTCTCCCAGCTCGGCCAATCATCAAAGGCGACAAAGTGGCAATCGCACCGACCGATCGCACCGTTTGCCAGCACTTACTGACAGTTGAAGCAACAGAAGTAGAGGTGCAACGTGCAGCAAACTGATGAAAGAGCCAAGGGGAGACAAGCCAAGCCAAGAAGGACACAAGCCGTTGTCACCTGTTGCCTGTCTGCCTGCCTCTCCCTGACCATATGGTCGTCTGCCAATTAGCAACGAGGAAGGTGTCTGGGTGAACCATGCACCCTACTAGCATGCGGTAGTAATTTAGAGCAGACACTCGAGAAGAGCACTTCAGCTGAACTTGAAACATGGACAACAACTGCAGCAGCAACATCAACACAGCGGCGACAGCGGCAAAAAATGGTGGATGAAAAAAAGGTGAAGTGCAAACACACACACACCGCTCGCCGGCATGGCGCAAAAAGAAAAAAAGAAAGAAAGACGGCGAAAAGTTTAAACAAAATAGCAAATGGCAGAAAGTACTGACTGACTGACTGACTGGCTGACACTGCACTGAGGGGGAGGAAGTCGATTTGTTCACATGGCCAAGTGAAGACGCTTCGACATCAGCAGCATCAGCAGAAGCTGCAGCAGCACTTTGGCAGTGAAAAAGAAGAAGCAACTTCAGCAGCCTCAGCAGTGTGGAGCAGCAATGAGTGCCTAAATGAGCCGCACGACGACAGCGACAGAGAGAGACAGCGGCACCACCGTCTCCAGACTAGGAGAGAGAGCAAGAGCCAATCGACAGAGATGCAATAAAAAGAAGAGAGAGAAGTGTGCAGTGTGCTAGTGTGCTTGTGAA